TGGCACAGGGGGGGATGTGTCACCATGGGGGGGCATAGTGAGTATAGGGGAATGGCATGGGGGGGTGTGTCACCACGAGGGGTCACACACTGAGCCCAGGGCTATGGCACACGGAGGGGACACCTGGCACCATGAGGGGACACAATGAACCCAGAGGTGTGGAACACAGAGGGGACACCTGGCACCACGAGGGGACACGCACCGAGTGCACAGCTATGGCACACGAGGGGACACTGAGCCCAGGACTATGGCACACGGAGGGCACACGTGTCACCATGAGGGCACACACTGAGCCCACAGCTATGGCACACGAGGGCACACTGAGCCCATGGCTGTGGCACACGGAGGGCACACGTGTCACCACGAGGTGTCACACACCAAGCTCACAGCTATGGCACACGAGGGGACACCTGGCACCACAAGGGGACACTGAGCGCACAGCTATGGCACACGAGGGGACACTGAGCCCATGGCTGTGGCACACGGAGGGCACACGTGTCACCATGAGGGCACACACACTGAGCCCACAGATATGGCACACGGAGGGGACACATGTCACCATGAGGGGTCACACACCGAGCTCACAGCTATGGCACATGAGGGGACACTGAGCCCATGGCTGTGGCACACGGAGGGCACACGTGTCACCACGAGGGCACACATTGAGCACACAGCTATGACACACGGAGGGCACACGTGTCACCACGAGGGCACACTGAGCCCAGGGCTATGGCACACGGAGGGCACACGTGTCACCACAAGGGCACACACTGAGCACACAGCTATGGCACACGAGGGCACACTGAGCGCACAGCTATGGCACACGGAGGGCACACGTGTCACCACGAGGGCACATTGAGCGCACAGCTATGGCACACGGAGGGCACGCTGAGCCCACGGCACCGTGGGGACAGCCATCACCGAGTGGGGGCGACACGGAGGTGACCCCCATCCCGGTTCGGCCCCATTACCGGGGATGCGGTCGAAATCCCTCAGCCGCCGCTCCACGTAATCCCATTTGAGGACGGCGCAGCTGCCGGCTCCGGGCTGCGCCAGCGCCACGTACAGATCGCTGGCGTAAGTGTAGGGCTCTGCCGACACCGCCTGGAACGGCAGCACCTGATGGACCGCGAAATCTGCGCGGAGAGAGCGAGCCCTGAGCGCCCCGAGCCCCGCGGGGTGGGTGGGGTGGTTTGGGTTCTTTTTGGGGAGGGGGCACCGCGCAGCCTCACCCGTGGTGACGCACTGGAAGTCCCGCAGCGGCAGATCCCGCAGGCGCTGCCCCTCCAGGGGCGCCGGGCTGCTGCAGGGCACGGCGGGCACCGTGGTGTTGGTGCCCTCCAGCCACTCCACCAACCACTTCAGTTTGCAGTCGCACACCAACGCGTTGCCTCGCAGGTCGCTGAGGAGGGGGGAGG